CAAACACATTCGCATCCACACATTGATGGATGTAGAACAACGCCTTCTGATTTCTCTTCCTCAGCGCCTTCTGTGCTATCTTTTGGGCCTCTGTTGCATCTGCTTATAACAAATTATAGCCATCAGTAACAAGTTCTAACACATCTTGAGAACCAAATAACACGCGCATCTAGATCTTCCAACGATTCCAATTTTTGCCATCAAATACTGAAAGCTTGGAATGAATATGACCACCGTTTCCGTTCATCTTTTACCTTATACAATTTACGCAGAGTTTCCCAAATCAACGTTTTCTATAAAAAAAAACCAGAATCAGAATATTGTAATTCTTAATCACAATACTTCTTTTCTCGTGGATTTCGAACCGGAGCTCTAGATACCAATTTTTGGTGCACAAGGAAGATAAAATGCAAAATGAATATTTACTTATAGCTTCAAAATAAAGATTTACAATGAATTACAATAACCTACTTCACTAGACTATTTATACACAAAATTAAATCTAAAATATATCTTCTACAAAGATCTAAGAAGATCTAAGATATATATCTTCTAACAAAGATATAAATAATTTAAAAAATATTCTTAAATATAAATTAATATCTAATTAAATCTAAATTAATTCTAACACAAACTTATTCGGTCCACAAATTAATTTTGTACAAATCAATCATACACTATACCTTGCCATACTTACAACCTCACATAATTTTTTGAAGTGTATTCTCACATAATTTTTTGAAGTGTATTCTATGAATTAATTAACCAAATTAATATCTATTAACCTATCAAATTCTATTAACATCATTCAAGATCTATCATAACACACGTCTATAACTAATTTGAATGAAACAATGATAATAACCTAAACCTATCATCTTGACCTAATTGGTTCTTCTTTTATAGTTTCCAGAAAAGGTTTCTTTGATCTACAATAATTTAATCTATAACTAAATCCTGTTTCCACTCCTTCTAAACTCAACCTCGGAACACAATCCTTTTCATCATTCTCAACACCACCACTCTCCTTTGCTTCCGAACTCTCATCCGGTTGGACACGTGTCTTTCTGGCACGTAACCGTTTCGCTGCCGAATTCGCCGCCAAAAACAGCACCGCCATGTCAGCCCCGGTGACAACCGAGTTGAGTCTTCTCATAGGAAAAAATATGTAAACACTTCCGAATTCCAATTCTTGGTCTGCAGCGAGAGGGGAGAATCTTGTAGAAATATGAAGAGAACGAGAGTTGACTAAGAAATAGTTTGGATTCTCTAACATAAGTTCTGCAGCTTTCATTATTTCTCTAAATTGCTTCACTTCTCCAGTTGGAAGAATCACCCTAGTTGCTTTCGCGTTCCTCGTCGACGGTGGTGCTAAGGTGCATGAAACGTAATTTCCCATCACGAACGAGTAAATAAAACCGTAATTTGATATAGTTGGAGTTAATAGTGTCGAAGAGAAAGAAAATAGAGGTGTTTGTATTTATGTTTGTGAGATGAGGAAGTTATAAGTGTATTTATATAGGGGAACAATAATTGTGTTTGAACTGTCAAAAAATAATTGTGTTTGAAATTAATAGGTGTCAATGGAATATAATATTGGATTAGAATGGTGGAAGTATTATTGAAAGTGCATATTGTTGTATTGTTTTGTATTTCTATGAAATGGAACGAAATTGGCATGTGCGTGTGTCAGTTTAATATTTGTTGACTGGTATATGTGTGCTGGAAAAGGAATGATGAGACTTTGTAAATGCGCGTAGTGTATGTGATAAGAGAAAAAGGAGAGAAAGTGCAAATGCAAATGTTTAGTTAGCAGCACAGTGTGGGAATACTTTATTTAGTTAGTTAAATTTTTATGGCTGTCACACTAATGCTGAAATTTCGTTGTGAACGAGTAAAATCCAAACGCGTGGGACCGATCAATGTCTGCATGTTTATACTTCAACTAGGCCACCACCACGCCCTCACTGTTTGTAGATAATATAAAAGTTTCGTTTTGATTTCTTTTGTGTATTTAGTTTTTGAATCATGCTTGTGTGTTTTTAATTGCCATAACATTATTGCTTTTTAAGTTCTCTTTCAAGGGACAATCAAGACCATGCATGTCTTGGATTTGCGGTGATTTTGCTCAAATTGAGCCGAGTCATTGCAATTTTGCAAATAATATCTGATGAAATTTTAACAAAATTGCAATTATTTGTGAGTAGTGTTTTAAAATAGGATCAATAGTTGTCAAGAAATAAAATTATTAAGTAATTGTACTCATTGTGAAGTACAATAGAAACCATATATGAGATAAGCTAAATACAAGTCTTTTTGTTTCTGACATATAAAAAAGGTGATTCTTTTATAAGTGGAAAAATTAATTGCTCCATTATATAAAAATAGAATATCAGCACTTGTTAAAAATATAATTTGATAATAAGGATTGTCGCTTTTGTCATTTTGATTTGGCATTCAGAAAAGATAAGTAATTGGATCTTTTTTGGATCTCACACTCTCATTCACAACTTTTAACAGAGATAATTTGTGGAACCGTCAATTATGTTTCTAATTCAATAGTTATAGAGGGGACCTAGCCACATAATATATAACTCTAGTCTCTACCCATTATGGGCCAAAGGTTAAGGCTCACACTTTTGCCCACACCAATCAAATTTAAAATACTCAAACTTTAATTAAAAAGATCATTTAACCAATAAATGAGCCCACTTATGCATCTCGATCAGAATCATGATTAACTCGTTTTTCACAAATTAAAATAACAATTAATTGCAACCCACAAAATATTAGATAAATCTAACATTCTCCCACTTGGACAAAATCAATTGTGTGATTTTAATTTTATATAAAAAAAACATATATTTAAAAATGTCTCTCGGATTAATGAATAATTTCTTAAAATATGGGTGTCACTACAACATTTAGCCACTCCAACAACAATTGAAAAGCGTTGCCAGAACTCTGAAAATCGTTACCTAAACAAATAGGGGACGTTTTCTAGGCGTCTCCTGTGCGAGCGTTGCCTATTGTTTGAGGCGACGTTTTTTTATGTTTTTTGGGCACGCTTTTGAAAAACATCGCCTATAGAAAAGGAATAGGGGACGATTATTTGCGGCCTCTGAGACGACGTTTTTTAAGCGTTGTCAAATTCGGCTACAATTAACAATCGTTGCCTTAAACCTGAATCAGGAAGATCGTTTTTGAAGTGTAGCCATAGCTTATAGGTTGTTGTTTTATAGTGTCCATATAAAATATATAATTTTGCAATTATTATCAAAATAATATAGTCAATAATAATTGGCTTCAAAAATAATATTGATTATATAACTTAAGCCATACATCCATAAAAGTTGCAATATAATAAAATCGAGTTCAAACTTTAATTCAAAATATAGTATATAGAGTACACAAAATGCCTAACGTAACATTACTTTTAATACTTTGAAGTATGACCTTAGTAAAATAACTAAAAACATAGTTCAACAAAAGAACAAAAATCATATTTCAAGTTTAATGCTTTCAACTACAAGCCAAAAAAAGACATCATCCAACTCACTCAAGTTTGTCTTCTAGGAGTAAATCATCCAGATCGTCCTCTTGAAATTCGTTAGATATGTCATCCTCCATAAATTCTTCATCTACGTCGTCCTCTTGAAATTCACCATCTATATCGTCCTCTTGAAATTCATCATCTAGATCTATGTCTTCCTCTTGAAATTCGTCATCTACGTCGTCCTCTTGAATTTTATCATTTAGGTCGTCCTCTTGAATTTTATCATTTATGTCGTCCTCTTGAATTTCATCATTTATATCGCCCTTTTCAACATCTTCATTGATACATTGCTGCATAAGAAAATAAAATAAAACACATCAACCATAAATATTTTTGGTCCAAAGGACAATTAAGACATCAACAAAAATTAAACCTCGCACAAATAAAAACTAAATCAATGAGCAAAACACATTGCTTATATTCTTCACATCTCATGTCATGGGTGGGCTTTATATTACTTTACTTATCTTCTCATACCAGGAATATTCATAAAAAATACTCAATGTTTTACTTTAAGTCTATATGTCTAAAGTTGAAAATTTAGATTTTTCTCTTTTGCATATAACAAATCTTAAACAGTTTCAGCCACTTCTAGGTGTTGTCACTACTTAAACAATTTCAACCACTTACTTTATTCTATGTGTTGTCACTACTTGCAAATTTTTGCATACATTAACAACCATTTTGATACTATAATATAATTAGAAAAATATAAATCAATAATATTGGTATATATGGTTACCTTTCCATGACATAGAGCATGAGTTGATGTAGATGAATGCATTTGCGGTCTTATATCCTTTGGGGAACTATTAGCATCTCCATGAGATAATCGTAACAAATCTTCAATTGACTCTATATTAATTTGAGGATTGCATTGTTGTATTACGGTCTTAAAAGCATTTTGCAATCTATCAATTTTATCTTGAAACTCGTCCCTTAATGTAGAGACCTCTTCACTGTGGGCTTGTTTCAAAGCATTAATATCTACCTTTCTCTTTAAGGAAGTTTTAGTTATGTTTCTCCCATAACAGCGTACCCTGCCTGGACACTCCTTTCCAAAAACAACTTTAAAAGCTTCTGTATCACTTTCCTCCTTTTCAACCATTTCTTGAAGTTGGGACTAGCATAAATTACAACAACAAAAAATATTAACTACTATTATAGACAATGTTGGCCGATTATATTAAGCAAACGTATTATATAAACAATGTTACATACAATTACTTTTCCAGTTTCTATATCCAGTTCCTTTCCTTTATTTCCTTTTCGAGTTTCAACAAACATTTTTTATTGAGTGGGCTCTCTTTTTTCCTTTTCACGCTGCACAAATCAAAATAGTTCCATAACAAATCATGTGAATTAGAATTCCTATTCACGAGTCAAAGAAAAGTTTTTCACGAATACTTTAATTGAACAAAGAAACATTCATACAAGGAATACTTTATTGAGAACAAAAGAAAGTTACCACTTTTTCACGAGTCAAAACAAAGTTTTTGGGACCCATTTGATGCATCCACTTTAGTTGAGCTCTATTTCTAGTGTTATTTTCACTGATTGCCTACATTTAAATTTGACTGAATTATTATAATAAATATTACTTAATTATGGCATACATAGAAAGGTGTAAATTCATACACATACATAAAAAAAATTATTAATCTTACTTGTATAGTTTCCTTACTCCAATAAGCACAAAGACTCTTAAACTGGGCTATTGGCACGTTTGGCGGACGATTTTTGAGTCTCTCGGTCATGTTGGAATACTTCAAAAAATGATTCTTCTTAATTTTGTGCTTATATCTTCTCCATGCCTCTCTAACAGTGGTCTCAATCCAATCTCGTGCTTCAACCGGCAAGATAAACTTCCGCTACATAAATTATAATATAAGACAAGATCAAGAAATAGAACACTTTTTTTTAATAATTATACTTTCAAATTCATAGATAAAAACATACATTAGTATATCTCCAGAAACGGTTTTTATTATCATATGGCATTCCTGATCAATTGGTGTAACGTAGAGGACAAAATGTTGAGTTCCTAGCCAATGTTCCCAAGAAGAGGCTCAAGTCAGATACTACTTTTTCACTAGGACCAATTGGCTGAAAATTCTCATTAAAGGTCACTTCTACTCGCTCTTCCAAAGTTCTTGCATGAATCTTTTTGCACAAAGTTTTCCCACGAGTTTTTCTTTGGGATGTTTCTATAAAGTAATCAACACAACATGATATCACATGTTTGCTACCAATATGTAAATAATACATGAAATCATTATTATGAAATATGAAACTAATTACCTTTTTCTTCTTCTCTATTTATGATTGCATCTTCTTCGTTGACTTTTGCCCGATTTTGAACACTTTCTTGTCGAGTTCCTTTTTTTGGCTGATTTTGATTAGAACTACGGTTAACGCTGCTGCCCGGTTTTTCTCCATTGTTTGACTTGGTTGCATCCATTTCCTTTGACTTGTGAAGATCTACATAATCATCAATCAACATTGATGGGCATTTTGGCACCCTGTTTAGCTTTTTAGAGCATTCAGCTTTTGACATCATTGTGTCCAAAGATAGAGTAGATTTCTCTGGTTTCTTATTTTTGGAAGAAATAAGTATTCTCCTTGCAACTGGTTTTTCCACCTTTTGAATTTTATCTCTATTGTTCTCTAGTAGATTCTCATGAATTCTTTTTTTCAGCATTCCTGGTTTCAATGTGTGATACGGTGGGAGAACTGACTTGAGGTTTTGCGTTTATATTCGCAAATGTTGCGGTTAGCAAGAGTCGCCACCGACTTTTTATTTTATCCTAAGGAAAGGTTAAAAAGCACAGCAAAAACCTTTTGAGATGTTTTCTTGGGTTCGGGGAGTAGATTATAGAAAGGGAAGGTATTAGCACCCTTTCTATCCATGGTTATCCATGGGCTCTTAGTTACTTGCTTAGATCACTTGCCTTTTGTTTTCAATTGTTTTAAATGGTGCTTGAGTGTGTGGGTTTGAAAATGTTTTGAAAAGAGGCCAATGTGGTGGCAACCTTTGTAATGATCCATGTGGGGATGTATACAAAGATGTATGTCTTTTGAAAGAGTTTTCATTTGTTTTTGAAAGTTGTTTTGAAAGTGTAATGATGTGTGATTTTGAAATTAGGCAAGTGTTTTGTTTTGCAAGTTGATTCAAGTAACTAAGAGGTTATCTACTCCTAAATTTCTCAAAAGATCATTGTTATACTTTAACCCTTTTAACAAGTTTGCTCCACCATTGTATTTGGTGGGCAACCTTGTGTTAGGATGTGAAAGGGACAGGCGCGGGTCATCGTTTTAGACCATAATTGCAACGGCGTTAAATGTCTTTGAGCAATTTCTCTAAGGGACTTGATCATTTGTTTTTTTGTTTGTTTTGAAAAATTTTGTCGAGGGACTATGATCATTCAAATTGTTTGCTTTGCCCAAAGAAGTTCAACATGCAATATGGCCCATTTATTTGAAGGCAACAAGTGGAATACCCTAGGGGGTGCAAGTGTGATTTGTGTGTCCATTTTCATGCTTGTTTATCTTGTATTAGGTCAAACTATTTTTTATCGTTTTTTCGCATACAAACCCTAATTCTAACATGTTATCATTAGAAAGCAATAAAGTGCGAAATTAAAATTACTAAGCTATTACAAAACCAAATATGGGAAGGGGGGTACAAATGTTCAAATGGGGGATATTGACAAGAATTTAAATCTAAATTATTACATCATTTTGAATATTTGCAAGGTAAATAAATTGCATAATTAAATGGAAATTAAATAAATATGTGAAATGCAAAAAGAAAGTTTTTATATGTATGAGAAAATATTTTTTATGTAAAAGAGAAAAGAAAATAAAAATGTATTATTATTATTTTTTTGAGTATTTTAAATTTAGGGCAAAAACCCTAATTTTAAAGAAAATGCATTATTATCTAATTTAATACAACTATTTATTTATTATTTATAAAAATGAAATAAAATGAAGTATATTATGGGGAAAAGTATTTTTGTATCAAATATTAATAAAAAATAAAAATTCAAGTATTTTTAACTTAAATATATTGATAACCATGCATATATATATATATTAAACCCTAAATATGTATTATACACAAAATAAATATTTATTTAATATTTTAATAAAATAAATAAAAGAGTATTTTTTGTGTGAAATATTTTCAGAAAGTAAATAAAAATAAAAATTGTATTTACATCATTTTTATATTTATTCTAATAATAGTATATATATACTTATGTATAAACAAAGAAAGTAAACAAATAAATATGCAATAAATGCAAAAAATGATGAAAAAAATATTTTTAATTTTTTAATGCCATGAGAAAAAATAAACAAAGTCAACCAAAAAAGAAAAAGTCAAAAATGTTAAGAAATGAACAAATGGGCTCAGGGGGGTGTGAATCAAAAAAGGTGGTGTGAAAAGTGAAATAACACAGGCCCAGCCCACTGATCATTGTCTTCAACCTCCAGCTTCAAACATTTGAAAAACGCGCGCCCCTGTTCCTCCATGTCTAACTCCTGATTCTTGGCTTTTCAGCAAAAACTCATAACACAAGAAATGTTCAGCATGAAGAGACGGTTTCAACCATATAAATAACTTGACCTATCTCTCTAAGATGAGGGAGAATTTCTCCTCCCCCAATTTCTGACCTAACTTTTCATCAATGTTCAGACATGAAATTCTCTAAGCACACGAAACATAAATGAAATCTAATCATATGAGCATGTTCAGGGCTATGATTGTGACATGTTTTCTTCAAAAACCTAAAGCTAACAATGCCTAATAAGAGAGATAGAACTCCATGAATATACCTGTTCAGTTGGAATCGAGCTTGGCAATGGAGGATGTTTCAGAGTGAAATGATGACTTGTACAGCTTCCTTGAAGTGTAAGGATGCTTTTCCAATTCCTACTTTGTCTTGAAACTCCCTGAATCGAGCTAGTGAACTCCAACTGCAAAACATAAAATTAAAAAATGGTGAAGTGGCTTGGAGGTGTTACAGGTCTGATTTTAGGACATGGTTAGCTTGCATATGTTGTAGGGAAGGTAAAGGAAAACGTTTGGATCAAAATTCTCGAAGGGATTGGGAGTTTGCACTCAAACTGCAGGGGCTCCCCTGTTTGTACAGTTTTAAGGTGATTAGAGCAATGGGAGTGTTTCAGATGGCAAGGGCTCGTGTGTTAGCTTGGATTTGGTCCATGGAATGTGTTTGATAGCTTTTGTGTTGTGTGTCTAAGCTGAGATCAGAGATAGCATAAGTTATGGACTTTTCTTCTATCTTAAGCAACAAAAGCAAGTTGGTGGTTTTAGGTTAGTATGGGGCCTCCTAATGTGTTGCATAAACATCTCTTGATCAGTGTGTTATGCACATAATCTTGTGCCAAGCAGATCTTTCATGTACTTGTTGGATTACAAACTTGACATAAAGTTAACCTTTTCAAAAATGGAATTTTCACTTTATCTAGTTTAGGATTAATCTTGCATACAATGCTTGCACTCAAAGAACAACACCTTAACACATTGAATATGCATTAAATTATTGAGTATGAAATGGTTCAAGGACCTGTAATCAAGCATAAAGCAAACTGATTTCAAATTGGCACAATATGAACATGTCTTGATGAAGAACAAAAAGTGAATTTTTGCCAACTTGTGAAATTCGAATCTCTCAAGTTATGAGGTTGTTTGAGGAGTTATTGGACATTTTCGAAAGCTTGGAATGTGTACTACAATCCATCTTTGAAATGCAAATCAAAATTCCAAGTGAAAGGGTATGAAAAGTGGCCTTGAAGTAGGGTAGAAAACCTTGTCAAAATAGGTCAAATTTCACTAAGTTAAAAGATAGTTTAGTGCCCTTATTCAAAAAATTATAACTTGAGATACAAGCTTCAAATGAGAAAACTTTGTGAATCAAAGTTGTAGATTATGCAACAAGCTACAACTTTCATGTTTTGACTTTTGTTTGAATCCAAATGGATCATGGTGAAAAGATGGGGCAAAGTTGGGAAAAATTAGGGTTTTTCATAACTTAGAAAAATTCTAAGTTATGAAAAATTCCATTTTCAAACCCTAATTTGCATTTTGTGATTTCTTGGTGAACAAGTTTCATGATTTGGCATGTTTTGATGAAAAATGAATCTTGACTCTTGATTTTGACCAAAAAGTCAAAGTTTGACTTTTCAGTATACAGTCAAAATTGATCAATTGACTGGGAAATTCAACTGTCAATCTTGTGTATTTGGGATCTTTTGAGCTTGATGAACATGTCAAGATAATTCCATTGAGTCCTTGAGGCCATATGTGAGCTTGGTTTACCATTGGCTAGGTCAAACAGTCAAAAATTGCCTTTGTGCAGTCAAAACCCTAAAAATGACCATTTTGCCCTTTTGGGGATCTGATCAAATTTCTTGTGGAATTGTGATCCAAACTTGATCAAATGGTTCATGTGAGTTCATAATGTTGATATGGGTCAATTTTCCTGAGATTTGACTGTCAATTGGCCACAGTTGACCTTTTCCCCAATACAACTGATTTCTAGGTCAATTGTCCAATTGACTGGGCAAAGTTTGGAATCAAGGCTTGAAACTTGGTATGGATAAACTTGGGAGTCCAACATGAAGCATGAAAGTCATCTTAGGCATTTTAGGTCAAAACATCCTTGGGTAAACACAAACCCTAATTTGAGTCTACAGTGCAAGGAGAAGCCCTGAGCAGAGGAAACCCTAACTGTATCTTGATCTTCAAAGGTCTTGTGATGAGAAAATGTTGAGGAAATGGGAGGGCAAATTTTGGGGTACAACAGTTGCCCCTGTTCAATCTTCTTGGACCTGAAGAGTTAGATTGGCAAGTTTGCCTTTCGTGACTCGAGGGTAAAAGGAGATTGGACACTAGAGTGCCCGGAAATTTGCACTCGCATGCTGGAGTCTCAACAATGTGGTGTCGGGAATGGGCTTATAGATGCCATTTGGAGAGGTGACAGAACCTTGTTGGGAATGGGCTTATAGATGCCATTTGGAAGTGTCGGTCGCATAAGAGATTCCTTTGCGAGAACTTGTGTATTTGAGAAAGACGGATGTTTTCCTGGCTTGTTACAGGTGTTTGATCCTCAGTCTCCTGATGCAGATATGCCCTGGCTGGATACAGGTATTGAATCTACAATTGGTTGCTCACAGATATGCCCTGGCTGGATACAGGAGTCGAATCTGGAAATAGTCGTTTAATAGATGTGCCCTGGCTGGATACAGGAATCGAATCTCCGAACTCTTCAGACGTGCCCTGGCTAGATACAGGAGTCGAGTCTGGAAACGTGGTCAACAGATATGCCCTGGCTGGATACAGGAATCGAATCTGGAGATGTTGTAGTTGATAGATGTGCCCTGGCCGGATACAGGAATCGAATCTTCGAACTCTTCAGACGTGCCCTGGCTAGATACAGGAATCGAGTCTGGAAACTGATCACTCTCAGACGTGCCCTGGCTAGATACAGGTATCGGATCTGGAATTGTGACAGTTGAAGGTAGTCGTTTTTGGAGATTGTCTTTTTCCTGAAAAGGCAAAAACGTAAGTTGTATGCAATGTCATGATGTATGATATGCATGATATCATGATGTTCAACATGAGACGTTGTATGCATTTCATCATGTATGTAATCAAGATGTATGAAAATGTAA